GGTCGGCTAAAATTAGCCTTCTAAGCAAAGCAGGATGAAGATTAAAGAGATGTTGAATAGATAATAATTAATAATGTTTTGGCAAAGCGGCGGATGGGATTCAGATTTCAAACTGTTCGATAAAACTATAAAGATACGCTGTCATATTTTCCCTCCCGTTTACCAATATGCAAATAAATAGGGTTGATACTTGCAACGTCTCCATTCTCCATATGTATGTATATATCATATGGGGGAATGGCTCAGTGTTTAGAATACGTGGGGAATGGCCGAATGGTTACAAAGATAACATTTCGTTCATTAGTCCAGATTTGACACACCCTAGCCTATTGTTCAATAGGGTACCTTTTTTTGATACTAGCAGCTTAGACCAGTAATCTCAACAGACACTACTGTCGGGAAGCGCTTGAAAAGGACACTATAGGTTGACCCAAGACTTATAAGAGAAGCTGAGTTGAATCTCACGGCGGTTGCACAAGCGTGAAGTCACGGAGCTTCTTGATTGACAACCTATCTAGAGACGATGAAAATACCGATACATTAACAGAATGGATACTAGCATCAATAAAACCACAATAAGACGTTCTTAAAAAATCAATAGATTAAATCACGAGAATTCGCCATCTGACACGCGTACATATAGGCAGTCATGGTAATGTATTAATTTGTTTGGAAAATAATATCTGATTTTAGAAAAAACATTTTACCTGGGTTCAATATATTATTATAATAGTTAGACAAAAATATTAGGTTGGCGCAAAAATAATGACGTAATAATGTCGTTTTTAAACGTATTTTTAACGTCAAAAAACGACATTATTACGTCATTATTTTTGCACCAACCTAATATATTACTCATTTCTAAAGATTTAAGTCTATTTATTAATTTTATATCAATCTTTTTTTATTAGGTTGGTGCAAAAATAATGACGTAATAATGTCGTTTTTTGACGTATTTTTTAACGTCAAAAAACGACATTATTACATCATCATTTTTGCACCAACCTAATAGAATTTAACATGAAACATAATACACCCCTAATCTTGAAGAGGAAAGAAGAAGAGATACGTTTTCTTTTTTTTTGAGTTCAAGCTTGGCCATTTTCTCAAACTGCTGCCAGCATTAACAGAGCATGGGATAAAGGATGTGATCGGACAGTACCTCTCTGGTTTCTGAAGTTCCATCTTAGAGATAAGAGTTTTGAAGATCAAATCAGTGGAGGACGTTCATCTGCAACTGACAATCAACATCGACCCCCACCCCGCCAAAAAAAAAAAACAACAAAAAAAAAACACGTCAAATTGTCAGTGAAATGCGTCAGCCTTTCAACAATATCGGACTATATAAAAAAAATTCCAAGGCGAATCAACACGATAAATGGGCTCCACATGTTCGACGTAGATCCGATAAAGGATCCGCAAAATTCGAATATACCATTTCTTGATCGAATAGTTATTAGGTTGGTGCAAAAATAATGACGTAATAATGTCTTTTTTTGACGTATTTTTAACGTCAAAAACGACATTATTACGTCATTATTTTTGCACCAACCTAATACTTTCGATGAGAAATGGATTCTTTATGATAATCGTAAGAGATCGGCTCAATGGTATGAACATGACGAGGCACCCAAACCCTTTCGAAAACTGAAAATGCACGAAAAGAAAATTATAGTGGCTGCCTGGTGGGGTCTGCTATTGATATTATGTATTAAAGCTTTCTGCAGTCTATCCAGACTGGCGAAGTTTACTGCCAGCAACAAGATAAATTGCGCATTCAGTTAAGCAAAATGCGGCCAACACTGGTTAATCGAAGAGGTCTAATTCTACTTCATGAAAATGCTCGGCCACATGTTGCCAGGATTGTACTGGAGAAGCAAAAGTATATTTTAGAGAAAAAGTTCTTTGCTGTTTCGGAAATGTTCAATGTCTAAAAAGTTGTCTGCCTTTGATTAAAAAGGTTGAATTTAACTTGGATTTTTCTATGAAAGATATTAAGTCAAAAAATGTTTGTTGCGTAAATTTTTCTAATCTTCCATAAAGAAAGTTTGTTTGTTTGGCGGCTATTTGACACATAATTCCCGTGTGTATCTTTCGCATGTGTGAGTCTCAAATACGACGAAAATTCGTTTGCTATTTCTATTTATAGTTTTTTTTAACAACCAATGAAATTCAAGAAAATGTTTGAAATTGAAATGAGGGCTACTAAAACCTTACCAAATTGGGAAACGAGATTTTTGCCACATCCACCATATTACCCTGATGCCTCACCCAATGACTACTATCCTGTTCCAAAAAGTAGCGGTTCCCTGGAAGAACTCTCTAAATGAAACTTCCGTCTGACTAAGGGAATACGAAGAGGATGAAGATGATTCCTCCCTTTGTACGTAGCATAGCGGTGAAAAGTAAGGAGTGTAACTCGTCTGAACATCTGCTATGAACGTATGCAATAGCGTAGCGATAGTCTTCCGATATATCGTCCCTGAGAAAGGAACTGAAGGGTTAAAAATATTTTAGCACCCCAAAAGACGCATAAATTCTTCGGGCGTAATATTAGATTTGGTTCGACATAAAACAGTGTTGTCATTCAGAATGACGATCAAGTACGACAGGAACACGGCGTGTCAGTACTCCTATATGCCAGTAAATGTTGAACAATCTCCTCACAGATGAAGAAGAGACTTGAGGCCACAAGAATTTGGTTCTACAGAGGGATGCTGAGAATAACGCGTGAATAAATAGGAAATTTGAATGATAATAGAAACAAAAAGTTGAAATTTCTAGGACGTATAATGATTGATTGATTCCTTTTTCCCTTTGCAGATTATTTAATGTCAGAAAACATTTTTATATTGTTAGAATTTTTCCTTTTGGAGATAATAATGGTTCAGTTGCAAAGTCTTCCTTTCCTTGGATGTGCCGTATATTTTCAGGATGTTGGCGATCATGGCTCTCGACTTTCCCTTATTATTTGTAGCTCGGAATAAGTTTTGTCCCTCTGCCACCCCCAGACCACGGGCTGTCATCCACTTGCTTAAGCTTGCTAGGTATTTCATGCATTGCATTCCTTTGTCTCTCTTTCCTTTATTCGACCTGTGAGTATCAGATTTTCCAGGTCCTCGTTTCTCATTACGTGTGCCAGAAATTTCAGCTGCCTCTTCCTGATGTTAAATATAAGCCTCCTCCTTGTTTGCATCCTCATCGTTGTTCACACGCTCAGTTCATGATATCCTTAGCATCTTTCTGTAGTACCACATTTCTGTCGCTTTTTCATCGTTGAAGAAAATCGTCCAACATTCGCTGTCGTAAAGAAGGACAGATGTCACGTAAGAGCTCCATATTCTTTTCTTTGTTACCAAAGAAATTCTCTTGTCTCGCAACACTCTGCTTAGCTTTTGGAATGTGTCCTTGGCCATCCCAATACGTCTACGGATCTCAGTGTCGCACTTGCTGTCTTCTCTCAAGCCGCTTCCCAGATATTTAAACTTCAGCGTCTGCTTGATCCTAGTGTTCCTGACCTTCAAATCGCATTTCGGGTTCATCCTTTTACTGATGACCATGCATTCTGTCTTCTTGGGGTTTGTGCTTAGTCCTTTCTTCTCACTCTCCGTCACTACCTTCTGTAGGAGATTTTGTAATTTCATTTCCGTGTCTGCTATCAGTACTGTGTCATCTGCATATCTAATGTCTTTAAGATTGTCTCAACCGATTCCTGAATCCCGGTAGGATTTCCAATTCTCTCAGAATTTCGCCTCAGGTGAAAGTGGAGATTTCTACATATTATTAAAAATAATTAATTTTTCTTCATGTTCAATGTGGAATATTCTCGATATGAGACATTCTGTTTGTGTGTTGGCAATCCGAATTTTCTTTCTATTCCACATTGAACATGAAGAAAAATTAATTATTTTTAATAATATGTAGAAATCTCCACTTTCACCTGAAGACGGTTGCGAGACCAGAAACACGTGTCGTGAAATTATGTAAAACAAAGTATAAATATTTTTCTCAATAAATCCACATTACAACCAAAAACGTTTGCGGCACCCCCCTTCTTTTTTAATATATATATATATATATATATATATATATATATATATATATATATATATTATAGAAAATAGTGGATTTTATAGAAAATAGTGGATTTTATAGAAAATATATATATATATATATATATATTATAGAAAATAGTGGATTTTATAGAAAATAGTGGATTTTATAGAAAAATATATATATATATATATATATATATATAAACTAACCTTGTGTGTCAATGGAAGACTGAACATGGGATGGAGAGGAATGCGAAAAGACAAAGCTTACTAAGAACTTTAAAAGATAGGAAGTCGGGAACACACACTTTCTGAAGGGACACACCACACCAGTTGCCATCAAAGTTTATAGAATCCGGTCTGTCATGCTATTTACCTATTGCTGTTTAAGAAGAAGATTCATACTTTTCCCAAGGGTAACAGCACGTAAGTGAATGTAATAGATTCGTGAAATTCTAACTCGGCTTTCTGATTCCTCAATCCGAGCCGCTATCCATTACTTCACCATGACATAAACCCCAGCTTTCACACCGAGTGAATTTTCTATAAAAAAAAAGAAAACAAGAAAGAAAAAAATAACCCCTACCCTGGTGTGTCAATGGAACACAGAACATTGTCTGGATGTGAAGGCGGAAAGCCAAAGCTTATTAAAAACTTTAAAGAATATGAAGTCTTGAACACCCACTTTTTGAAGGGACACTCCACACAAGTATGTTTTCTGTTAATTATTTTATCTAATTTTTATTACCGTTTGTAAATATGAAAGGGGTAAGAGATGGAAATCATAACACGGTGAACGTTAGATAATTATTACAGGTATCAGTTTTCTGAGAGTACGAAAGGGTGGTCGTATCATATTCAATGAAGCAGTTAAGCTGTAATATAAGCTTATGATATAAGATAAGTTGGCTGTATTAGAGTGGGATATCACGTTGATTGTATGACGTCAAATTGACATCAAATGATTTACCGACTACGTGGGCTAAACTCTTTTCTCGTGAGGAAAAGGAGATTAGCAGTGAGAGGCGGATACGAATAACGGGTAGCGAGAACAGAACGACAGTTCCGTGTAACGCAGTACGTTGTCGCCCACGCCCAGTTACCCTTCTGAAAATGTAAAGAAGAAACTTCACTTTCTGTTCACAGTTTTTTTATTTCTCTCTTCTCTTGTATGCTGTGTCCCTTGAGGACGTTGGGGATCATGACTCTCCACAATTTCCTCTCCTTTGTAGCTCATAGTCAAGTTTGGCTTCTTGCTTTCTCTCCTAATCCTTGTTCTGCCAACTATATACACAAGCTAGTTAGGAAGCTTATATGCTGCTTTCATCTGCCCCAAGCAATGTGTTCTGTGAGTGTCACATTTTCTAAGCCCTCTTAATGTTCATTAAGTTTTATATTTCTTAGATCTATGTCAGTGTCATAACATGTAGGACATAAGTTGGCCTGTGTGAGTACCTCATCATGGTGTAGTGGTTAGGAAGCTAATTGCATTTCTGGGTCGGACCAGCACAATAACAGTCGTGCCAATCTCTTATCTGTCGGAACTCCAAGACCCTAAGATTTTTTTTTTGGCTATCTCTCATAAACCCTGTTCTGCCATCCATTTGCACAAGGTCGTTTCATAGGTTATACGCTATTTTCCTCTGTCACTGTTGCCTTCAATACATCCCCGTGAGTGTCGAATTCTTCAAGCCCTCTTTCCTCATTATGTGCCCTAGAATTCCATCTCTTTCTTTCTGCTGTTGATCATCATCATCATCATCATCATCATAGTCATCATCCCCTTGACTTTTGTGAACCTGGTGGGGGATCCGAATGCAGAAGCCATGTTGAATCTCCTCCACAACGGTCTGTCAACGGCGGCCGTCAGCGATTCTTGTATAGTCATAATTGTCCATTGTTTGACATTGTCCAACCAGTTTCTGAGTTGGCGCCCTCTTCTACGAGCGCCTTCAGAGGTGCCTTGCTTGATGGTCTTGCATAGGCTGCCGTGACTTGTAACGTCTCAAAACCACGCCATTTTTCTCCGTTTGACAGTGGCGAGAGGAGGTTCTTGGTAGCTCACAAAACTTTCAACCCTTTTTCGCACAAACTCATTGGTTTCATGTTCCCAGTAACATAAATGATGTTAAGTTTCAGTCTCCTTTCTTCCATTTTCTCGAAAACTTGGTGGTTGCTCAAACGTTCAGTCGGTGGTATTCTCAGCATCCTTCTGTAGAACCACATTTCAATTGCCTCAGTTCTCATCGTCATCTGCGATGGATTTTCCAGCATCCTCTACCATATAGCAGAAATGATATAACATAGCAGTTAAAAACTCTTTTCTTTCTTTCTAATGAATGGAACTTGGAAGGGAACTTTCGCTATCTTAGTACTTCGGATTTCGGTGTCACACAGTCCATCCTCTGTTAAAACACTTGCCAGATACTTCTACTTGTTTATTTTTGGTATCTAAAATTTGTAATTTATATATCGGTCTTATTTTCTCTCGCAAAGAAAAAAAAATAAAACAAATTAAGAACTAAACAATCAAACAAGATATTGAACATTTGCTTCGGCGGTGATACCACTGATACGTGGATCACCGGTCCATGAAATTGAGGTAGCTTACGTCACTGATATCCTTAGAAGAAGTTTTTAATATCAAAGAGAATGCTATCAATTCTTTGTTATACTGGTGTTTTGCCAGCTGCATTTATCAAAAAATCATAATTTATATATGATATCTGTGTGTTGATGGGACATCTGTGTTTAAATTAGTACTTATAAACACACACATTCAACGACCCGGAGCATATATATATATATATATATATATATATATATATATATATATATATATATATATACCTCCAAAAGTATATATTCAGATATACGCTTACTTGTTCACATACACAAAAAGATATCCATTTTTCTATTCTTTCTCTCTATATGTACATATCTCTCTCTTTCTCTCTCTATATATATACATATATATGTATATAAATACAGATATGTTTATATATATATATATATATATATATATATATATATATATATATATTATTGATAAAATAGTTCAATGTTTATGTCTATAAACACAATATGTAGATATAATTTATTGTTTGCTCTCTTGTGTAATTAATTACCTTTGTATGCTTTGCCTTTTCAATCTTCACAATTCTTCCAATAGCGAAGTAATTGAGAGCAATAATAATACTACATCAAATAGATCATCTTCTTCTTCTTCTTCTTCTTCTTCTATGTGACGTAGGCGATCATAACTCTCCATAATTCCTTGTCCCTTGTAGCTCTTAATAAAATTTGTCTTTTAGTTATCTATCCTAAACCTTGTTCCGCAGTTTATTTACTCAAGCTCACTAATTTATGCATTGCTCTCCTCTGCCCCTCTTGCTTGTCCTCGGTCCTGTGAGCACAAGATTTTCCATGCCCACTTTCTTCATTATGTGCCTCTCGTAATTTCACCAGTCCCTTTCTGAAGTTAAGTATAAATGTCATTTTTGTATCAATTCTTTTAAATAGCCGTTGCTTACATGTTCGGTTCGGGTATTTTCGTCATCTTTTTGTAGAACCAAATTTCTGTTGCTTCAAATCTCTCTGTCATCTGTGTGGATATTGTCCAGGATTTACTTCCTTAGAGGAGTCCAGTACTCGTTTATGCTTTCTAACAATTTTTTTCTGTTTCGTAATACACTGCTTAGCTTTTGAAAGGCATCTTTTGCTATGCCAACGCCAATTCGGATTTCAATGTGGCGCTTTCCGTTCTCTGTTAAAAGGCTTTCACATATCTAAATTGTTGTACGTGTTTGATTTCAGTGTCTCTCATCTGTAATTTGCATGTTGGATTATTTCTTTTTTTAAAGAAACGTGAACTCAGACATCTTGCGATTGAAGTTTAGTCCTTTATTTTCGATTTACTTTACTACATTCACGAAGAGTTTACGTTGTGTGTCCGCTATGAACACTGTGTCAGTAGCATACCTGTTGTAGAGTAGTTTCACAGTGGAGGCTTGTATTTCACTAAGTCGGTCCTAAAAGGGCTCGACGTAAAAAACGTTAGAAACTTGAAATAATAGTTCATGACGCAGCAATCTAGTTGCGGTGGTTGATACTTTAATGTCCGACATCGACTGACTCACTCAACACCACTGAGCTCCACTGGCGACTGCTACTACTACCACTACTTATCTGTGTGTGGGAGAGTCTATTACAATAGAATAGATAATGTCCGGTATAACAATAACTCATGTTGTTAGGGCCGCCAATAATGAATCCTGGTAGTGGTTTAGAAGGCATCTTTCGCTATGTCAACGCCACTTCGGATTTCAATGTGGCGCTTTCCGTTCTCTGTTAATACTCTTCCAGATATTTAAATTGTTGTTCGTATTTGATTTCAGTGTATCCAATCTGTAATTTGCATATTGGATCATTCCTTTCGTTAAGAACCATTAAGTCAGTCTTCTTGCAGTTGAAGTTTAGTCTTTTATTTTCGATTTCCTTTACTAACTTCTTTTCTATGTCCGCTATTAACACTGTTTCAGCTGCATACTCATGTTGTTAAGGTCACAACTAATGAATCCTTGTAGAACTTCTATTTCTATTCACACGCTTATTCAATGTTATTTATTATACTGACCGTTACTAAAAAAAAAAGAACCCTCGATAGTTTTTTAATTTATATAGTTAAGACTAAAATTGTAATGATGTTTTCGTACGTCATATGAATGAAAGAGGGGGGAGTAGGAAGTGAAGAAGATGAGGATGAGGGGGATAGATAAACATAAAGAATGTTGACTTGATGTCACGATTTAATATCTGTCTATATTTCTGAGATGAGACATTATGTACACTATTTAAATTATTCGGACTATTGTCCTTATCTTTGTAGCCATATTTATTACAACGCTTCGGCTGTTGTACGCTCTGGCCTTCTTCAGGTGTTTGGGTTGTCGAACTGAACCATTTATTTCGCTCACTGGGGTAGGCTGTTCTAGTTCCATGTTTAATGAATGTCAGTTATCAGTTATCTCCTGTTAATTCTCCTCTTTAATTTCTCCACTTACTTAACCGGGTATTGAACTCACACTCTTTGGGTCCTGGATCTAACCCACGCTTTTATCCACTGTACCATGTGTCTTTGAGGATATCTGTGTATGAATTTCAGATGAGGGCAATAGTCCGGATAATGTAAATAGTCACGATTTAAGTTCTGAAAGAAGTAACCACGTTGGAGTCTGTTCCACAAAGTAGCAATTCTTTGGAAAAAAGATTTTTGAGTGTAGATTTCTTCTTATACTCGGATACGGGGAAAATATGGATGTTTCAAGCACTTGGAAGTAGCATCTGATTTACAATGCAAGTGATTTACAATTTTTCCTGTTGTCATTGGTTATTGGAGTGTACGTTAATAAAGTGTGATTTCCAAAGTGTAGCTAATCCTACTTTTTTTGGTATATACACTACATATAACTAGTGAGCGAGTCAGAATGACTTATTTCCCTTTATAGTCGACCAATGGAAGGTTGACCAATCAGAAGCCGCCCAACACTGTATTCGTCGTGTATAAAGGCGGCCATCTTGTTTCCTCCTACCGGAAGGACCAAAGGCGACCAGGAGGAAGATGAACTACACTCTGTTGTGATATCCACTGCGAACCTCCACTATGCTTTCCTACTGTCTCCGAAATATTCACTGCCAACCTCTGGATTCTATACTCGAGGACGACCGTCATGAAAATGTCTAACACTTTATTTCTAGATTGAGCGGAGAAATCGCTATAAATTAGCTGTCTGTTGTCAGCTGGAGGTATTTGTGTAGGGATACGCATATGACAGGTCAGACATTGAGAGCTGCTAATATCACGCACAAAATTTGCATTATTATCATCCATCGACAGTTCCTTTCTTGTGGCCCTTTTTCCTTTGAGTGCCTTCAACTATTTTCGTAACAGAAAAGAAACTTTGCCCCTTAAATATCTTTCCCTTTATTTTAATCTGTAAATATTTAAACGGATGTAAGTAAAAAAAAAAAATAAGCTCGTTGGAATACTTTTGCGTCGAGTAACTTCACAATAGAATGTCGGTTTACGGGTGTGCAGTAATATCTACTCTTATTGTTTGCAAATGTTGCATCCAGGCTGCGGAAACGATACGCAAAATATTTATAATTCGTGTTTTGACTTTCGTGATAGTTCGTATATAATAGTGGTGGATATATGCTTTTTATTGCGTGAGTGAGTTATCACTTTTCGAACACTTTAGCAAGAGGTAATTTTGGCTTGACTGCTGTCGGATTTACACAGGAAGAAACTTATTTAAAATGTCATAACCAGTTTACGTTTCGTAACTCCGGAGTGACCTTCTTGGGAATTACCGCCATAAATCATGCCGATGGAGAAGTTAAAATTCTAACGTTTCACAAGTACACACAGAGCATACGGACATCACGCAAACACATACAGACATCACACATACACACACATACACAAAGAAACAAAAACGGACAAAAACAAAGAAATTCACAAATAGTGGGTCAGTATGAAACAGTATGCTTCAGCTTAAATAATTTTGTTTCCCAAACAGTTCGATCGATAAGACTTCGACTCCGAATAAAGGCAGGCTTACAGACGTTGAATATCGTTTAAAGGCAGGCTTTTCAAGTTGAAGCATTGGCACAGTATGAACTTTTTACCTGTACCTGCCTTTTGCCATACAAAACAAAACCATTTACATTATTTCAAAATCAGATTATTGTCCTCGTATTTGCTGTTATTATCACAGCTTTTCGGCCGTTGTGACGCTCGGCCTTTTTCAGAGAATTTTGAACTAAACCCTTTATTTCATTTACAGGTGTAGATTGTTCTCGTTCTGCTGTCCATGTCTAGGGGCATCACGTCTCGTTCTCATTTACTACAGTGCTGTTATTGTCCGCTCCGTCTGCACTACACGGCCCAGGGGTTGAACTCATAATGACTATGTCACCAAATTCAAGAACCGACTATTTAATTCACTAGGCTATGTTCCCTCGACATGAACTGCGAAATGAGAAAAAAATCTACCACCATAGACTAAAAGGATCAGTTCAAAATTCCTTGAAAATTGCCTGGGTTGACAATCAACTGAAAAAAGACGAAGGGCATAACATTATTCATTTATATTGGCTTATACGGGGAAAATATGCATGTTTCAAGCACTTGGAAGTAGCATTTGATTTACAATGCAATTGATTTACAGTTTTCCTGTTGTCATTGGTAATGGAGTTTCACAAGTACACACAGTGCTCATTTACTGATAAGATTCATGCAGTTGTTGCTAATAACCTTAGTCCATATTTATCCCCAATTCTTGGCAAAATTCTTTAACCACTTCCTGAAGAAGGAATATTTCCGAGCTCTATTTGTCAGTTATTCAAAGCTGAAATATATATTTTTGGATTTAAGAACAATTTCAGAGTGGATATTGTATTAATAATGCAATTTCTGGAGAGAGTAATGATTTCTCCTGACATAATTCTTGATTTTTAACCCATAGCTCGGTCTATCAGAAATGTATTCTTACCTTTGACCAGAGTTTTTGCGCCTAAGTGAATATAACTAACTCAACTGGAATTCGAACTCGGTACTCCGAATTTTCATTCAGAGCAGTTATCCTGTTGTAACCTAGGGAAGGTTACTGAATAGAATAATCACACGAAGGTTGGTAATGAACGATAATACTTAGGACAAGAACAACACATATAAGATTCGCCAGCGTCGTGAAGAAGTACTCAACTTCTAGAAGTGAATTCCACAACGCACGATATCTACGAACCACCCCACGCGGTCAGATGTGGCAAAAAGCCGAATTTAATGTGGGGTACCCGTATGCTTGTCCAAAAATTCCCTGAATAACCGTGTAAAACGGAGACGGATAGCAGTTTCCCGAGATGAGAATCTGCCCTTCGACATAACCTCGTCTGGGGATCCTCTGTACCCTGAGGAATAGAGTTTGGACAGCGCAGCTGGAGACGAATCTCCAACTGCAGACCAACATACAGTATTTACTACTGTATTTTTGTGAATGGGGACATACCCATTATCATTCGTAGTTATGCAATAACATATCTATTACACCTCTAGAATCCAAACCATCCTGGAGTGGATTTGTAAAAGTTTGATAAGCTTCTAACGGCCAACATGAAGCTGGGAGAATCCTATCGAAAAAAGCCTGCGATTGTAGCATCATCATACATGTGGCAAACAGTGCACAATTACAGGACACAGTGCTAACATGCAGAAAGTGTGCATTGCATGAAACTTGCAGGTGATCACCGTAAACAATTCGCTTGTCTGGAGCAATTTGTTCAGGAAAACCTAGGATGCAATGCAACTTAATTCGTCGTCCTCGACGAGAGAATACATCATTGTATATATATATATATATATAACGTCATCCACAGACAGACTGTTTCGCTGTTTTGGCTAGCTAGGATCGAAACCCGACTGAATTGGTGTCAGTCGGAGATTCTAACCGTTAAGCACGGCGCACGGTAGGGATGAAAGTGGATTTTTTTTAGTGTATTTATTTTTAGAAACACGCCCAGTGACCGACAGTGACTCAATTCGCATCTGCGAAGAGTCTCGCTATATAGCTATAAATAGTCACTGTTTACCAACCCACACCTCGTCCCCAGAGAGCTCAACTGAAATTGATATTTCAGGAGCCAATATAACGTCATCCCCAGACGGATTGTTTCGCTGTTTCACAGCTCATCAGTGTGGCTAGACATCCGGTTGCCTCTATCTAGGATCGAAACCCGACTGAATTGGTGTAAGTCGGAGATTCAGACCATTAAGCCGCTGGCGCACGGTAGGGATGAAAGTGGATTTTTTTAGTGTATTTATTTTTAGAAACACGCCCAGTGACCGACAGTGACTCAATTCGCATCTGCGAAGAGTCTCGCTCTATAGCTATAATAGTCACTGTTTACCAACCCACACCTCGTCCCCCGAGAGCTCAACTGAAATTGATATTTCAGGAGCCAATATATATATATATATATATATATATATATATATATATATATATATATAGCTAGTTATTATGGATAGCTTTATATGAGATAGTTTCAGATACATTCCATAAGTTTCTTTTCAGGTTTCCTCACAAACAAAGCTTCCAGAACAGCCTCATTCACTTTTAAATGAGTCCTTCGAGGCATGGAAATTTTAATTCCCCAACATGAAAAAAATAAAAAATCCGACAAGCTAACCATATTTATGCCGAAATATACTGCTGTCATAACTCAGTGCAACCATTACAGCCATCTCTACCAGAAAGAAGCTTATTGTTGGAAGTCAGTGCAAATGGCCCTAGAAAATCCTAACTGTAACTCCACTCAAACAATCCAAGTAAAAGTTGAAAACAAAAATTGACGCCCACGACTTCCGGAAAATTTAAGATAAGATTCTCAATAAAGACAACCCGACTGTGCCTACCAGCATAGTCCCGACGTTATCTCGTCCGCCTCAGATAAGGTTAAGTCTTTTCAAGGAATTTTGCCTCTAACTCAAGTCTATACGGCAAAGATTATCGCTGTACCTCACACAAAATTTGCGGTCTTGGCTCGGGAAATTCTCAGACTTATAAAAAGCCTTGGTTTTCCGATGGCTTCTTGTTTGGATAAGATTCATGCAGTTGTTGCCAATAACCTTAGTCCATATTTATCCCCAACTAGCAATAGAGACCAGCGTTGCCAGGGGATGTAACAGTAAGAGATAGATCAAGTATCGACCATCATAAAGACTGAAAAATAAAATTGACAAAGATTATTGTTTAAGGTTGACGGACACGCATGTCTTAATTAGTTATCTTTTTATTTTTATTTTTTTTTTTACGAATTGGTCAAACCCAAACTCAAACAAAAAAATTGTTTTCAATCGTTGTGAGTCTACCGATTGAATAGAATTTTATTATAAAAAATTGTCTTGTAAATTGAATTTTTAAAGCATTCTGAATGTAAAAATAAAGAAAAAAGTGTGCAAGACAATAAGAAACACTACCTGCCAAAAAAAGTGAAGTTTTGTTGAAATCGGTTGAAAAATGTAGGAAATTCGATCCCATCTATAAACGAACACACACACAAACAAACAACATGTGTTTTATAATAAGTATAACTCGATATGAGTTGTCCCCCTTTCATTCTGGCGACAGAATCATGTTTTACCATGTTTTCAAATTGATTTCGTGCAAAAACAATTGTGTTTTTCCAATTTTTGGCGCTGTCAGAACCACAGCAAGGTAATTTTATGCAGTCCTGTGAAGTTTTGTTGAAATCGGTTGAAAAATGTAGGAAATCCGATCCAATATATAAACGTACAGACACACACACACACACAATCTGCGTTTTATAATAAGTAAGATTCTTGGCAAAATTCTTTAACCACTTCCTGAAGAAGGAATATTTCCGAGCTCTATGGAATGTATCAGCTGTATTCTCAGTTTATAAGAATGAGGATGAGTAGTAATTCCCATCGCAATACCACCCCATCAACTTCAGTGTCATCAGCATAACTTTTGTGGATATCATCAACAAAATGGTTGTCAATCACTACAGCAACAATAACCTCCTGAGAGATAAACGGTATGGATTTTGCTCCGCTGGGTCAACTGCAGTTGTTTGACCGTCATTGTGCATAGAATCTGTGAAATGCATGATGATAAATTCATTAAAAGGACAATCGCCTTGGAAGGCTTTTGACAAAGTGTGGTATCAGGGGTTGTTACACGAACTCCCCAGCTATGGAACATCTGGTAGCGTTTTCTCGATTACCAACTCATTCACATCGGGTAGGTCCATGAAGGTCATTGTTAATTGCCAGTTCACTGACGTCCATGGGATCAATGCAGGGATATCGTAATGGTTTCTTCTTAGTGCAACTATTTTTTTATCTAATATATATTAAAGAACAATGGGATCGTTAGTAAGTGTCGATGAGGCATCTCGGTGTGTTGCAATGGTTAGCAAGCTTATCTCGGTAGAACAATTACGTGTACTGAGTTCGATCCTTAGTGGCTGCTCCATACTTTCGGCTTTGGGTCACATCTAAGCTAAGGTTAGAAAATCCCCATTAGTGAGTGTAGATTCAGACGATAGCAGGGTTTTAGTGAGCACCATCAACAAATTTAGAGCCCCCCCCCAAAAAAAAAACTGGCAGCTGATCTCTCCTCTGACCTTGCACACACAGCTCAATGGGAGAATAACTGGCTTGTAACATTCAATACGATCAAAACCATCATTGTAATGCTTCATCATCATAGATGAGTTTATATTTTTCATGTCTTTCAAGAGCAAAAAAAACATTTCTTGATTTTACCGATTTAGACCTTCAGCACTAGGGTCCGCCTACCACGTACACAGGGTTGTCTCATCCTCATTCACTCCATAATCTATTGGTAAGGAGTAAGTTTCTCCAGAACTGTTGCAGTGTGGAAGGGAATCCCGATGGAATGCTTTCCTGATAATTATAATATTAATCTCTTCAAATTGTGGGTCAACTTTTACTTACCCTAAATATCTTCATATCATGTAACCTTGGGTCCCTCACTATTCTACCTTGCTGCATTCCCATTTCGTAACCTCTATATTGAGGGACACTTAAGCCTTGTACTGTACAATATTACACACACACACACACACACACACACACACACATATATATATATATATATATATATATATATATATATATATAAAGAAAAAATTTTTGAGGAAAGATCTGGGACAAAGAGGAAAATTTTTCGTGTCCAAAGACTGACTCAAACGGATGCTGCAATTTACCCAGTCCGCCCACTGATATGAGATTTGACACAAGGTCGAGATTATTGTGGGGGACCCGAACGTTTACACTCGGGCCACTTGTCAAAATTAACCAATCCCCACAAAAGTTGACTCGGGTACATTGCTTGTCTGTTTTCTTAGCCGAGTTTCTGTCTGTAGACCCGACTGAGTCCCACAATGTCCGAAGGCAGAGAGCTCGACAAGCCTGTCGCGAGCCTGGCAGCAAACTGCCTGGCTCCAAACGGCTTCTTCTCCTTACCTCTAACCTGGAGCTCTTTATAGTCATGAACTATTTCATATAATGACCTAGTGGTGTACTATTTTCTCCACAACAAGGAAAATCGGACAAAGTTTAGGACTAAGTTTAAGATATTTAATAGGGAAAAAAATAATATGTTAAAAGTAAATTGTACATCTTAGGAAGAGAGAGATTTTTAATTATTCAAACCACTGTGTTGTAACTTAGGGAAAGTTACTGAATAGAATAATCAAACGAAGGTTTATCAATGAACGATAATAGGTAGGACAAGAACAACAGATATAAGATTCGCCAGCGGCGCGTAGAAGAAGTACTCAACTGCTAGAAGTGAGTCAAGTGAAGTCCACAATGAATCCCCAACTCGAGGATATCTACCAACCGCTCCACGCGGTCAGATTTGGCACAAGGCCGAATTTAATGTGGAGTATCCGAGCCCGTAGACTCGGCCAAAAATTCCCCGTAGACCACGTATGAGTCGGGTGGCTGTTTCTCGACACGAGACTCTGCCCTTTGGCAGAGCCTCGTCTGGGGATCTTCTCTGCCTGGGGACAGAGTGTTTGATCAGCACAGCTGGAGGCGAATCTCCAACTCTAGACCATGTACAGTATTGACTACTGTATTTATGGGAATGGGGGCATACCAATTATCGTCCGTAAGAATGCTACAGCAAACTGTAAACTTGCAGGACGGAGAAGGTGCTGCTTCAGTAGCGATTGTATACTCGGATAAGGTGGTTCTCCTTCATGTTGGTCATATCGAACACAACTACACCCGTCAACTCGTCCTCGGTACAGTTAGGTTTCGATTTCGGCTCGTTCTTGACAATGTCGCTGTTCTGCTAGCCATTTTTGCCACCATTTTTGCCACCATTTTTGTTTTTTGTTTTTACCTAAGATACGCCATGTTACTTTAACCCCATTTGCTCCGTATTTTAAACATAAGGAGAAAGTTACACCCAGAGATTTTCCCAAAGCGCTGCTTCCTTATGGAACACTCCTGCATGAATATTTCCCTAAAAACTACAAGCTTAACCTTTTCAAGTCAAATGTCAGTCGTTTTCTATTCGTCTTATTCTCATAATTTTGGCGACCTACCGTCTTCATTTTCATTCAAATCACACAACTCATTTAATAAAACCATTTGAATTGTAGCCTTTTACATTACCGGATCTCAAGCCTTGGATTAGTTTAGATTTATTATGAAAAAATCCACCAGCCTCTATTATGTTTCATGGCTTATGAAGGAGATTGCAAAAACATTTTGAAATACGTAGGGATAATTTACGGGCCGGTGCTTTGATCACCGCATCCACCACCTTGACGTAAGTTGCGGCATTGATTATGAGGCTGTATAAGTAAAAGGAGAAATAACATAGCTCTCTTTATTTAAGATCATCAGAAACATTCTTCTTCTTCTATATATCCATCTAGGGTGTGGGCAATCATGGTTATCCATAACTTCCTGTGCTTTTGTATCCCTGAATAAACATTGTCTTTTTTACTATATCTTCTAATCACTGTTCAGCCAACAATTTATAAAAGCTTATGATCAGGATATGCGTTGTTTTCTTCTGTCCCTTTGCTTTAAATATCCTGTGAGTATCAGATGTTCCAAGTCCTCTTTCCTCATTATGAGTCTTAGACATGTCAACTGTTTCTTCTTGATGCTATGGATAAGGGTATTTTTCAGTGCACGCACTTCGCTATCGAATGTGATACAAGGTTTTAACTGCAATACTGTGGAAAAATTGGCCAATCCCTCTCTTTACATTCCCTTTTGGGATCGCCTCCCGCGCCTAGCAACAAACCCAGACCCTTCCCAATGGAGAAGTACAGCCTGGGACTAATATATTTTAGAACTCCCCAGCATAGGGTTTCGCCAATGCAAAGTAAGTATAAATGATTTTCTAAGCGTAGCAAAAGGACGAAAGTGTGGGGCACCCAGTGAGGATCGAACTCACTATTCAGTCGTAAAGGATCTCGCGAGACAACCTTGCTGATCATTACACCACATCGAAGTGGCCTTGATTTATTAAACGTAGCTTAGATGTCGTACAAAGCTGAAATTATGCGGCACCCAGTGAGGATCGAACTCACTATTCAGTCGTAAATGATCTCGTGAGACAACTTTGCTGATCATTACACCACATCGAAGAGGCCCTGATTTATTAAACGTCGCTTAGTTGTCGTACAAAGCCGAAATTATGCGGCACTTAGTGAGGATCGAACTCACTATTCAGTCTTAACTGATGCTAAGTGTCCTTTTTATTTCCATTTTCTGTAAATCTGCGTCGTTGCTCGCGTGTTCATTTAATAGTATTGTCAGCATCTTTCTGTTGAACCATTTTTCTGTTACTTCTTCTCTATCTTTTTGTCCAGCATTCGCTGATATATAAGATGGCCACTGTCGCATAACAGTTCAGTGTATTCGAGGTTAACTTGATGAGCGTTAACGTGAGTATTTCCGTCGAATCTGCGCAGTGGTATCTGTCATTACTCCTGTTAATTAAAAGAAGGTCGTCATCTGACACTTAAAAGAAGCTCGCCATCTCCGAGTTTTTTTTTTAAATGGTTTTATGTATTATTTCGATTACTCATGTTTGACTTTTTTGTATCTAATTTTATATTTATTCTAAGATTTTGTCATATTATAATAATAAAAGAACTCTATTCATGAACGTTTATCGTACATCACGAACACTTGTCACCCAGAGAGCAAGAAAAATGCAATGTAGGCTGATACTATTGTAGCTTATTATCAAATAGTGGATTTCGAATGACGTATAATTCAGGCATTATCTATAAGGTCCAGAATCGAATTTTCAGCGTGAACCTTAAATATATGCCGGTTTTCTAAGAGGCTGGAAATTAACGAACGATTTTGTCGAGTTGAAAAAAAAAAAAACGTTATTTTTTAAACTTTTGGTAGAGACTTTTGAACAAGAGAAGCCTAACGTCCGTCCATCCGAATAATACACGTCTCGTTCGTGATGAAGTCATTTCAATCGTGAGACACCCACCAGGACACAATATGGAACTGCAATCGTGTGACACGGTCGACGCCGGAGGAAGAGAGCATAGACACGCGCGAAGATATGCCGTACACCTGTACAGACACCCATACATACACTGACACACACGCGCATTCAGACACACGTCGAGGCACACAAAAACACAACCATATCCACAGTCACATACCAACACAGAGATACACATATAGTCACATACGTAAACAGATATATACTAAAAATAAACTAATATCTGTTTAACGAATATCCGAGTTTCATGCACATAGCAATCACCAAGCACAAATTAGGAACTGTCCGTTTCATTACCGCCAGTCCACATTGTTTGCTATATATATATATATATATATATATAGTTTATGAAAAACTAATAAGCCGTATGGGTAAACCTAAGGAGGATAAAATCCAGAAAGCTCAATGTAAATTCAGAGCAAATAATTTAAATAAAAAGACCACTATAAGGTTCCATGTAATAGATTATTTCACCACAGCCCTTTTAAAAGGACTGCGGATCATCAGACTTTACTACCAAACAAAAAATGAAAAGAAAATTTACACATTTTTGACGGGCCGTATTAAACATATGTAAATTAACGAAGTGAGGAAGTGAGGGAGAGATACACCCAGTATATATATATATATATATATATATATATATATATATATATATATATATATATATATGTACTGGGTGTAACAGCAAAATTGTCCAATTGTTAGATTTAGCTTTGTACTGTTGTATCTGAGAAATGATTAAAAGATATCTTCACGGAATTCACATAACACTGAAATTTGAAGAGTTAAATAATAAAAAAAAATGGCAGACAGAATATGTCTATATGATTTAACCAAAATATATATATATATATATATATATATATATATATATATATATGCTAAATCGTGTAACAGTTAAATTGTCGAATTTTTAGATTAAGCTCTGAACCGTTGTATCTTAGAAATTATTAAGGATATCTTACTAGAATTCTCCGAGGCTTTTATAACTCTATTTGACTCTACTTTGAGCAATAAGAGTATATAATTACTCTCCAAGCTTAACGGAAGAATTGTGATAAATTCGATCGTAAACGGAAATGGCATGTTCAACATTAATTAATCATAGCTAAGGATTGTAAGCTCATGAAGGATTGGAATTAAATATATATATATATATATATATATATATATATATATATATATATATATATTATTCCATTTTCTAAGTTATTCAAAAGGAACTTCGCCGTCTCTAATCTTCAAAGTTTCCGTCCTGGAGTAACAAGTTGCCTCGGAGGTGTCGCGTACGATTTCATTTTCAAGACTTTCACTGCTCTTTGGTCTGTCATAGCTGAAACTGCTCTCTCACCAAACGTCTTATGGATTGAATTGGAGGGAGTGAGGCTGGTACAAAACGATTTTATCTTGTTCTCTTCCAGCTAGACAAGGGGAAATCATTGATCCAACAATCTATCAATTTGCATGTGATGAATGTGTCAGAGTATTGTCCCCAAGGCAAGCCTTGCTAGACAAAGGAAGACCTTTTACAAATTATGATCAGTACTACGCTGGAAATATTTTAACACCCAGAGTGTGTCAGAAAACCCACAGAAATCTTTCTGGTCACAATTGTCACATTAAAACCTACAACGAAGATGAACAGACCAGACCCTGTGCAAAAGAACTTAGTTTATTCCATCTGCAATAAGCATAGCAAGTTACATGAAGTCTTAAAGAGCCATTGTCGTTCTCACTAGAACATACAAACATCGATCAAACTTGTCAGGGATGATCATACTCGTTAAACGAGTCGACAGGCATAACATCATGTATATATGATGGAGGCAAGCAAGAGTGTAAACGAGAAAGAAACAGAGAAATAAACAAAAAAAAAAAGTTCTTTTATTTCTGTGCCTCGAGATTTTTATTGGATAAGCCCAGGCCAGACAACGTTGCGTGCTGTTCTCTTCTTAGAGTTGACATTTGAAATGCCATTGCACGTCGTTTGACTTTATTTTCTCCGCGCCTAAACACGATATTACGCACTAAAGTCTACTAAATTATTAAGCGAATAGAAAGTCGCTGTTGGCCAGTGAAAACATAGCTGTGAATTTTGACTTTTACTGACGTCAAACTTCGCCTGTGTGATACGGCGGAGAACGAAAATCGCTGTGTAGACCGCATCGAAATGAACGATTTTATAAATGAAATCTTCGTTATTTAAAGAAGTTACATCGGCGGATGAAGTTGATTCTTATTGGGTCAACTCAAGAAGACGTTTCAATTTGGCTACAGTAAAGAAAGTGTCTTTTATAGAAAGAAATATAAGCAGAAGGACGCAATAAATAAGTAGAAAACTTCCAAACAAGTATCTATCTATCTATCTATCTCTCTCTCTCTCTCTCTATCTATCTATCTATCTCATTTCTCATCTATCTATCTATCTATCTATCTATCTATCTATCTATCTATCTATCTATCTATGTCATATTCATCTCTCTCGCTCTCCTCTCTCTCTCTCTCGATATATACATATATATATATATATCTATATATATATATTTCTCATTTTCATCTATCTATCTATCTATCTATCTATCTATCTATGTCATATTCATCTCTCTCGCTCTCCCCTCTCTCTATATATATATCTATCTATATATATATTTCTCATTTTTATCTATCTATCTATCTATCTATCTATCTATCTATCTATCTCTCATTTTCATCTAACTATCTATCTATCTATCTATCTATCTATCTATGTCATATTCATCTCTCTCGCTCTCCTCTCTCTCGATATATACATATATATATATCTATATATATATTTCTCATTTTCATCTATCTATCTATCTATGTCATATTTATCTCTCTCGCTCTCCTCTCTCTCTCTCTATATATATATATATCTATATCTATCTCTCTCTCTCTATATATATATATATCTATATATATATCTATATATATATATATATATTTCTCATTTTCATCTATCTATCTATCTATCTATCTATCTATCTATCTATCTATGTCAAATTCATCTCTCTCTCGCTCTCTCTCCTCCTCTTCTCTCTCCATCTATCTATCTATTTTTATCATTTCAAGCCTTTAAGACGCCCGGGTTACTGAGATTAAAGGAAACTGAGGAAAGAACAGAAATCAGACAAAAGAGATGAGGATTGATTTTGCATTTAGATTTTGAAAATAGGAGTTGACAGGAAGGTAAAAAGCAGGAAGAGATTTCCAAGGGCGGATAGTGACAGTGGAAACTATTAGAACAGAACTTGCGATTACACTGAGCAATTTTTACATTGAAATGATGAGGCCTAGATGCTAAGTTAGAACTACTCTCGAATTCATGAAGTCGAGATACCAAACAGAAAATATTAGAACATTAACCATACTATCTATCTATCTACCTATCTATCTATGTCATATTCATATGTCATATTCATATCTATCTATCTATCTATCTATCTATCTATCTATCTATCTATGTCATATTCATGTCATATTCATATTCATATGTATTTATCTATGTCATATTCGTATGTCATATTCATATTCATATCTATCTATCTATCTATCTATCTATCTATCTATCTATGTCATATTCATGTCATATTCATATTCATATCTATCTATCTATCTATCTATCTATCTATGTCATATTCATGTCATATTCATATTCATATCTATTTATCTATCTATGTCATATTCGTATGTCATATTCATATTCATATCTATCTATCTATCTATCTATCTATCTATCTATCATAGCCTTATATATTTTCTACTATTGGCAAAAACAAGAGCGTACTTTCTGGGACTTTATTTGATGTTCCAATTCAAATTAAGTCTAAGATTTTAAAATCTGATTTTCAACGAAATGTTTCGTCTTTCAAGATAATCGAGTTTCCGTGTTTTTTGCTTCTTATCGCCAAACGTCCTTTTCAACTTTTGTATTCTCATCTTAATTCGACGATATATTGAATGTAGCAATAGACTTTTATTCATAATTTTCCACTCAATGGAATCACTCGTCTGTCTTCTTAGTCGACTAAGTTCTTCTCATTAGTGGTTTAAATAGAGATGGGTTTGGCTTGTGTATCAAGAATTGCAATAATTTTTTTTTCTACTAGTGTTTTTTCTACCAGTGTTTTTACTACCAGTGATTTTTCTACCAGTGTTTTTTTGTTGTTTTTATACCAGTGTTAAGACTGATATTTCAAGTCTTTATTTGCAAGGTACACGTTGGGGATTAGAATTGCACGCGACTAAGAATATTTCATTTGTATGATTGCAAAATTTTATTTCTGTTTCTACAAACAATAGAAACAGTATTGGGATAACTGGACTTTCGATAATCCTTATGTTAATTGTTATGGTCCAGGTTAGGACCAAGGAAGAACAACACGAACACAAGAGTAGAAATAACGAAGGTATATTACACGAAATAATAATACAAGATGTGGAAGGTGTTAGTATGACTGTCAGTCTGGTTTGGAGTGAACTACTATCAGCTCGAATCGATTCAATATTTACTTGTACACCCCCCCACCACGAGGGAAAGATGTGGCACAAGGCCGAGTTTAACGTGGTTTTTCCGAACCCGTAGACTCGGCCAAAAAATGCCCGTAGAAACTGTAAAAACAGAATCGGGTTGGTCAACCTCCCCGAACGAGACTCTGCCCTTCGGCGGAGCCTCGTCCGGGTTCTTCTCTGCTTAGAGGCAGAGAGTTCGACCGTCAAGCCGAGAAGCTTGGCTTCATTCGGTACACTAGCCACCCCCCACGAAGGTTGCATGTGGTACAAGGCCGAGTTTAACGTGGGTTTCCCGAGCCCGTAGGCTCGGCCAAAAAATGACCGTAGAACCCGTATAAACGGGATCGGGTTCGTCAACCTCCCCGAAAGAGAGACTACCCTTCGGAGGAGCCTCGTCCGGGTTCCTCTCTGCTCAGAGGCAGAGAGTTCGACCGTCAAGCCGAGCTTCTCGGCTTGATTCGACCCTTCGAGTGTTAGGAAGAGTTCATTCTGTAGCTATAGGTAAGGACGCATGACATTACTTTTACTCCCAATAATATAGGCTATAATTTTAGCTCAAAGGGTCGTTTCTACCTAGTCCGACTCCATAATATTATTTACTGAAATAATAATTAGTACTGCAAAAGGTACTAACGTAACATACTACCAGCGACATCTGGTGGTACCACCTGATGCATTATACCTAAATATGCCTCAGGTTAATTTAGTCATTGTAAAATATCTGTGAAAGTCACTAAGAGATTCGAAGGACCATTGAGAATCTCCCGACCCCTAAATGTACTCGTGTAGTTATTGGAGATTTCCCAGGAATGTCTCTCTAGTTATTTCTTCTTTTATCTGCCGTGTTCCTTGAGGACATAGGCTTTTATGGCCCTCCACATCTTCCTCTCCCTTGTAGCTCAATGTTTTGTCTTTTTGTTATTTTTCCCAAAACCTGTTCTACCATCTATTTACTCAAGCTCATCATTTATGCTACACACTGCTTTCCTCTTCCCTCTATTTTTCAGATTGCCCTTGAGTATCTGTTATAGGACCTTACCCATAATAACATAATGGACTATTACATACGTAATAAATACTGCCCCTCAAGAGGAAGCAAGGAGTTCAGTCTGAAGTCTGGAGTGAAGTCCGTCAGGAGTCTGTCAGTCAGTCAGAACGAGTCAGTCAGTCGAGTCAGAGGCAGTCCGAAACAGAGTTGCGTACAGACAATTACTACTAAACCTGATTGTTCGTACTAACACTTTCTACTTCTCTGTATATATTCCTGCTTGTAATATATCAGTGTTATTCCATATCTGTGTTCGAGTTCTTCTTTATTGGTTCTACCTTAGACCATCGCCGTGGTACAAGGACCCGACCATAACAGTATCAAAATTTTCCAAACCCTCCTCCATACGTGTCCCAGATACTTCAATAGCCTCTTGCTGATGTTAAGTATAATTTTAATTTTTGTGTCAATTTATTCCAAAATCTCGTTGTTGCTCACATGTTTGGTCCATATCCTCAGCATCTTTCAGTAGAACCACATTTCTATTGATTCAAATCTCTTTTTTATCTTTGAGAAGATTGTCCATCGTTGCTCACATGTTTGCTCCATATCCTCAGCATCTTTCTGTAGAACCACATTTCTATTGCTTCAAGTCTCTTCTTTATCGTTGAGAAGATTGTCCATCGTTGCTCACATGTTTCCTCCATATCCTCAGCATCTTTCTGTAGAACAACATTTCTGTTGCTTCAAGTCTCTTCTTTATCTTTGAGAAGATTGTCAATCCTTGCTCACATGTTTGCTCCATATCCTCAGCATCTTTCTGTAGAACCACATTTCTGTTGCTTCAAGTCTCTTCTTTATCTTTGAGAAGATTGTCATGCCTTGCTCACATGTTTGCTCCATATCCTCAGCATCTTTCTGTAGAACCACATTTCTGTTGCTTCAAGTCTCTTCTTTATCTTTGAGAAGATTGTCAATCCTTGCTCACATGTTTGCTCCATATCCTCAGCATCTTTCTGTAGAACCTCATTTCTGTTGCTTCAAGTCTCTTCTTTATCTTTGAGAAGATTGTCAATCCTTGCTCACATGTTTGCTCCATATCCTCAGCATCTTTCTGTAGAACCACGTTTCTGTTGCTTCAAGTCTCTTCTTTATCTTTGAGAAGATTGTCCATCATTGCTCACATGTTTGCTCCATATCCTCAGCATCTTTCTGTAGAACCACATTTCTGTTGCTTCAAGTCTCTTCTTTATCTTTGAGAAGATTGTCCATCATTGCTCACATGTTTGCTCCATATCCTCAGCATCTTTCTGTAGAACCACATTTCTGTTGCTTCAAGTCTCTTCTTTATCTTTGAGAAGATTGCCCATCGTTGCTCACATGTTTGCTCCATATCCTCAGCATCTTTCTGTAGAACCACATTTCTGTTGCTTCAAGTCTCTTCTTTATCTTTGAGAAGATTGTCAATCCTTGCTCACATGTTTGCTCCATATCCTCAGCATCTTTCTGTAGAACCACATTTCTGTTGCTTCAAGTCTCTTCTTTATCTTTGAGAAGATTGTCAATCCTTGCTCACATGTTTGCTCCATATCCTCAGCATCTTTCTGTAGAACCACATTTCTGTTGCTTCAAGTCTCTTCTTTATCTTTGAGAAGATTGTCCATCATTGCTCACATGTTTGCTCCATATCCTCAGCATCTTTCTGTAGAACCACGTTTCTGTTGCTTCAAGTCTCTTCTTTATCTTTGAGAAGATTGTCCATCATTGCTCACATGTTTGCTCCATATCCTCAGCATCTTTCTGTAGAACCTCATTTCTGTTGCTTCAAGTCTCTTCTTTATCTTTGAGAAGATTGTCAATCCTTGCTCACATGTTTGCTCCATATGCTCAGCATCTTTCTGTAGAACCACATTTCTGTTGCTTCAAGTCTCTTCTTTATCTTTGAGAAGATTGTCATGCCTTGCTCACATGTTTGCTCCATATCCTCAGCATCTTTCTGTAGAACCACGTTTCTGTTGCTTCAAGTCTCTTCTTTATCTTTGAGAAGATTGTCCATCATTGCTCACATGTTTGCTCCATATCCTCAGCATCTTTCTGTAGAACCTCATTTCTGTTGCTTCAAGTCTCTTCTTTATCTTTGAGAAGATTGTCAATCCTTGCTCACATGTTTGCTCCATATGCTCAGCATCTTTCTGTAGAACCACATTTCTGTTGCTTCAAGTCTCTTCTTTATCTTTGAGAAGATTGTCCATCATTGCTCACATGTTTGCTCCATATCCTCAGCATCTTTCTGTAGAACCACATTTCTGTTGCTTCAAGTCTCTTCTTTATCTTTGAGAAGATTGCCCATCGTTGCTCACATGTTTGCTCCATATCCTCAGCATCTTTCTGTAGAACCACATTTCTGTTGCTTCAAGTCTCTTCTTTATCTTTGAGAAGATTGCCCATCGTTGCTCACATGTTTGCTCCATATCCTCAGCATCTTTCTGTAGAACCACATTTCTGTTGCTTCAAGTCTCTTCTTTATCTTTGAGAAGATTGTCCATCGTTGCTCACATGTTTGCTCCATATCCTCAGCATCTTTCTGTAGAACCACATTTCTGTTGCTTCAAGTCTCTTCTTTATCGTTGAGAAGATTGTCCATCGTTGCTCACATGTTTGCTCCATATCCTCAGCATCTTTCTGTAGAACCACATTTCTGTTGCTTCAAGTCTCTTCTTTATCGTTGAGAAGATTGTCCATCGTTGCTCACATGTTCGCTCCATATCCTCAGCATCTTTCTGTAGAACCACATTTCTGTTGCTTCAAGTCTCTTCTTTATCTTTGAGAATATTGCCCAGCATTCGCTTCCAACAGGAGGACAGATATTACGTAATAGATCAATACTCTTAGTTCCTAACTAATTATTTTTCTGCCTCTTGATACAATGTTTAGTATTTGGAATGCGTCTTTGGTCGTCTCAATACGTCTTCGGATCTCAGTGTTACACTTTCTTTGTTGGAACATTTTCCAGATACTTACATTTTTGTACTTGTATGTTTTTAGTATCCCCGATTTGTAATTTGCATTTTGGGCTCACCCTTTTGCTGACAACGAGGCATTATATATTCTTGTAGTTCATAGTTACAATCGACAAAAGATTGTGAACAAAAATAACAGGGATCAGGACGTTGTTGGTAGTATGCGTGAATGATGAAAATAATAACGCTGATATGAATAGGGTTGATGATACTCAGTCTTAAGGCAT